AAAAAACTTTAATTCCTTTCTTTTTTTTTTTCTTTTTTTTTTTTTTTTTTTTTTGGCATTTCATAACTTTTAATAAATTATTTAAAAAATATTTTTTAGAGCCAAAAAAAATGAAAAATATGGACAATTTTCGCAATAATGGTGAAAAATGAGGATGTACTAATGATTTTTTTTAATAATTTATTTGTGACTTATTTGTACTTTTAAAAAAAAATTGGGACTGTGATTGCAATAATTGTTTTCTTTTTCTTTGAAAATAATTGTGATCCGACCGCCCACGATAAATCCGCCACTGTGTACACGTTGCAAGATTGAAGTTCAAAATTGGAGCTTCTCTAATTTGTCAGTAATCATATATTTGATTGCAACCAAACAACTGCAATTTTATATAGAATTGCATTGCCATTCGAAAAGTACTTTGGACTCCCAAAAAGCCCTCTAAACGCAAGAATGAAGTATTCTTTATGAATCAATAAAAATTAGAAGGCTGTTCGTAAATTTCTTATTCTCACACTTCCGCATGTACTACTTTATATTACGAATATGTGCTTAATGATTAAAACAAACATATTTTTAAAAAGTTAAATTACGGGTGTGTTTGAGTCACATTATTTTGGAAGAATGTATTTTGAAATAGTAAATTGATGGAGAATGTGTTGTTGAAAAAAAATGAAAAGTTATTGATGTGATGAAAAATATTATTTTATTGAAAAATATGTGATTGAAAATAAGTATAAGAATGAGAATGAAAATTTTAATGGGGCTCAAACAGTGGGCTACGTTTTATATGATCAATCGTGAAGAAAAATTGAGTTACTTCAGACGTCACATCGAAGTTTCATTCGTCGCGTCGACAGTTCCATCAAAGCCTTCAAACGTATTTCATCTCAACGATGAATGGGTTACATTTATAATACTTGAGTGAGTATTACATTATGTTTTAAAATTTGATAAGTAAGTAGTTTCACAAATTAAAGTTCAGGACAAATCATTTATTTCACTCTCTTTTTCCCACAACCCCCAATAGCCCAAATTAAAACAGAAGCGGGGTAACTTTAAAAAAGGCATGGTCAAAGGCCTATAATTACTTTTTAACTTTTTCACAAGTGAATATTTCAAAAGTGGTCTATTTGAGTTCAAAAGACAAAAAAAAACTCTTAAGTGAATAAAACATTTACAAAATATGGTTTGGTTAAAAAGACAATACTACTATTTTAGTTAACAAATAAAACTACTGTTACAAAAAAATAATCGGCACAAACAGCTGAAAATTCGGCTGTTAACAACTGCACATCCTTGTGCGGTGGAAAATTAATCTGTTTTCACTCATTTCGATCTTTAGTTGTATCCATTTCACCCTTAACATTCTTGAATCTTTATCGTGAGTTTCGACACAACTCTTGAGTACCTTGATATACAGAAAAAGCTGAACGCCGATTCATCTCGATAGGATATGACGTTGAGAATTCAATTCAAAGAGCATTTGTCATTTTCAATTCTACATATGAAGGT